CCTCAATCTTTTTCACGTCGCGATATCCTCGACGATGACGACAATGACGGTTCCGAGAGGAGAAATTCTCTCGGCCGTTTGGATTTTACAGAAAGAGACGTGCAACTCTCTCAACAAGCAGGAAAACGCCAAGAGAAACGACTCGGATTCTCAGCGGATCTTCTCGCGAAGGAACTTAAATCTCCCGACTTCGTTGATCCGCCGAATCTCACGGGGTAACCTTTCGCAAAAGTGGAACGTAATTATACATGAAAATTAAGACGCGATGAATTACGGTTTATTAATCCCGAATTCACGAACCATAATTTCCTCTTACATTTTCACTTACATTCACGCGTCGCGGAGCGACGTATCTACCGGACGTCTATTCCAGAGAGAAAGAGAGAGAGAGAGAGAGAAAGAGAGAGAGAGAGAGAGAGCCCACGAGAGAAAGCCAGAGTAAAAGCGAGAGAAGGACAGAAGACAAGACACGGAGAAGAGAGAGTCAACTGCGAACTTCCATCATGTCACGTAGCACCTAATCTAGGTCAACGGAATTGAATTTAGAACCCAGCCGAGCTACTGTAGTTATATACCGCTGTAGAGCCGCCTCTCCGCGTAGGCAAAATGTTTCCAGGTCCACGGTGAAAAAGACGCTAAGTCTCTTTTGGATTCTGCTAGGTCGCAGTTAAATCGAAAAGCGACAGAAAGAAAAAAAGTATCCAGGAAAAAGATGGAAAGGGAGGGGGGGAGAGAGAGAGAGAAGAGAGAGAGAGAGAGAGGGAGAGAGAGAGAGAGAGTTTAAATTAACCATACAATTTTTACGCAGGACGGGCGACTCATAAAAGCGCAGAACGGTGAATATTAATGAATATATCCTCGTTTTGAGTCCAAGGATATATCTCTGGATATTCATTAATAATCCTGTCATATGTACCATGTTCGGTACCGTTACGCTATTGCATCTCATATTACTAATCCATTGTGCGAGACAATTTTTACCTATTATTTTGTTGAGGTTCCCTTCTATAATCAACGCATTTATCTATACACTTTTATGCGCACAACGATAAATAACGCCAATATGAACAAATATTCGGAAAGCTGCACATTGCGGGATATTTGGATAGCCATAGATTATTCAATAATGTATATTGAATGACCGTGCTGTACACATGTGGACAGGCGTATGAGTTATTAGTTAATAATAAATACTCGTAGATAGAGAAATTTATGTGCATCCGATATGATATGAGCGCAAATTACACGTATCCATCGTACGTTCGCTTTCTTTTTTTTACTATATCTCGGTAAAAGGCAAAAGTCACGCACACTGCGACCTCCAAAAAATTGCGCACTCCGCCTCTCTTGTGCGCCTGTTTCTTCTCTTCTGCGTGTAATTGCTTGAGACGCGAATTCCGGAGACTATTTTTGAACGTAGAATCGCGCGGTATGTACGGCAGAAGGAGAGTAGAACGAGACTAATGCCGCTAATGTCTCGTCTATGTAGTGGTACGTAACGGGACCTAATAGCCGATACGCCCTTTCATCCTCGCGAGCGAATGAGCGAGCGAGCGAGCGAGCGCGAGAATTATCCGCCGACTCTCGGCGAAGCTAGTATCTTATTTGTCTCGCTTCCGTTCGTTTCCTTATGAGAGACCGACCGGAGAGAGAGCGAGAGAGAGAGAGAGAGAGAGAGAGAGAGAGAGAGAGAGAGAGAGAAAGAGAGAAAGAGAACCAACGTATACTCGCGATCTCGCGGTCTCCTCCTCCTCTTTCAGTCTCTCTTATCCTCTTCCCTAATTCTACTTGGATATACCGTCTCTCTCTCTCTCTCTCTCTCTCTCTCTCTCTCTCTCAGTCTCTCCTCTTCGCTGCGCTTACAAGCGCACTCCCATAAAGACACACGCAAAAGCGTTACAATGTACGAGCCCGTTCGACGTACGCTTCCTCGTTCCTCGCCGACGACGATAACAGACGCCGATAGACCAAGAGGGGAGATCCTCCGTCGCGCATTTACAGAGCAGAGAGAATTCCGGGAGCGCCGCGCCGCTCCGCTCCGCTCCGCTTCGCTCTGCTCTGTTCTGCTCCACGTCGGCAGCCCGGGCAGGAAATAATAGCCGAGTGATAGAGTCAAGCGCAGGGAATTTTTATGGCTAAATCGATGTTGCACGCGCGGCGCAGGTCGCGGTTCCCGCGGGTGGGATGGAGAACGTCGCGAGAGAGAAGGAGCGCGGCCGAGAAGGAGACAAAGGAGAGAGGGAGACAATGAGAAAGGTAGGTCCCCTCCTCTCGGAGGGCGGGAGGGAGGTGGAGGAGAATGATAGAGAGAGAGAGAGAGAGAAAGAGAGAGAGAAAGAGAGAGAGAGAGAGAGAGAGGGAGGGAGAGAGAGAGAGGTAGAGAGGGAGGGAAGGAGCGACACAGAGAGGAGCGAAGGGCGCTAGAAATCTGGGGCGGGGATAGATCCGGGCTTCGCGCTCTGCACGCGACCTTGAATGCCAGCCAGCCTAGACCTTGCCTCCGCTCTTTCGCTCGTTCGCTCGCTCGCTCGCTCACGCTCTCGCCTAGTCCAGAGAGGCCGTGTGCTTGTTGTTTCAAGCTACACGACGACCGACGCCACGGCTGCGGATACCTCTCTCCGTGCCTCTCGCTCGCTCGCGATCGCGACCGCCACCGTCTCGCTCTTCCGCGTCGCGATTACGTAAAAGAGACCGCGCGCGCTAGCGCGTGAACCTGGTCTACTCGCGCACAAGATAAAGAACGCCGTCGGTCAGCCGGCGCTCGTCGGGCTGATCAGCCTGATGGAAAGCAGCGGTGCGCGCGAATGGCGAAATGACGGACGGGCAGCCCGGCAGCCGTCGCGAGGCCGCACGCGTGTCGCTTCTATGTGTCTTCTGTGTGTATGTGTATGTGTGTGTTCCCTTTTCTCATTCTCTCAGCTTCACAGCGAAATGAATCCATCTATTTTGCATTTTGCGCTCGCGCGGCATCGGTCGCAGACAGCGCCCTAACAAATGACGCTCCGATAACGCGGCGATCATTCCGCTTCTTCTCGGGGTAATTCGCGGCTGCTCCCGCAGACAGGTCTCGTCCGGAGGAAATTGATTCGCTGACTATTGATTCGCCATTTGTCGAAAATTCAATTTAAAAGTTTTCTTCGCGCTCGAGGAGTGCGGCACGCCTCGGGAAACGCCTCGGGAACGACGACGAGGCACCACCGACTTAGATGCGCGCGGAATGGGCCAATCGATCAACGGCGGCGTCGTCGGCGGCGCGTCTGTGTCTCGCCGCCGACGACGACGACGAGGCGGGCGAGGAGCGGCTGGGGATCGAGCATTCGACGCATTCGGCCGCTCGCTGCGATATTAATGACGCGAAAATACGTTTGTCATGCGGCTTTTAGCGTACGGCGGAGCCGTCCCCCCCGTCCTCGTCGTCGTTATCGAGCGTCGGATTTTATCCGACACGCCGCGCCGGCGGCGAAAGCGCAGCGTTGCGTGGCGAAGTGCCATGCCGGCCGATATCGCGAAAGCAAAGGAAGAAGACGAGTTGGGGCGGCAAGGATCCCGTGTGCGCGTCTCCGCGAGTCTGCTGCTCGCTAGAGCAAGCGTTTCCATTGGGTGGGATCATAACGGAGCCTCAGCGGCCGGCGACCGGGACCGCGCCTAGACGCGGATATAGCCGACATAGCTTTATCGTGGTCGTTATCTACCTAGCTACCTGCCTTTTTGCATTTTTGGCAAAGCCGTGCGCGCCTCTCGCCGGCCGAGTGATCGCAGTGGAGATCGCAGCGGCATCTGTTGCTCCAGACGATCGCGTATGCATCTCGTCCGATCGTTTCCCGGCGTGGTTGTGCAGGCACGAACACGCTCGCGGTTCGCGCGCCAAAGCTGCTTCGATCGTCCGCCATAGGCAGCAGCAGTCGCTTGAAGCACGAGTCGAGCCGCGCCGCGCCGGTTCGGCGCGAAGTTGCGCGCTTGTTGAATTCGAACGCCTTTTCCGCTGGGGAATGGGGCGCCCCATGGCGGATCGTCGTTTCGTCGGGTCGATGCTGCGGATCGAGCGGGAAAATGTGTCTCGCGCCGAGTTTCCCCGTCGCGCATAAATGTATTTTTACGTATTTTTAGTCAGGGAGCGCGAGTCCGTTAAAGACAAATTGATATCGAGCCATCTCTCAGACATTCAAGACGGTCGTTAGAAAGAGACAGCAAATGGCTACTGTTCTCTCGCCGAAATTCTATCGAGAATTTGCGACTCGGAGAGCGTCATCGACTACTGACGTTGTGATAACGATACGTCTGATAGATAGGCTTGAATAATATGCTATCACCATGTTTGGTGAGACACGTGTATCGCGAAATAACGATCGAGCTTACGACGAATCTTACTCACCGTCTTGGTAGGCACTAGGCAGGCCATCTTGGATTCGATTGTGCGGTTTAGCATCGTTTCTATAACCCAATCGATATATCGAAGTGAACCTCTTCGCGCTTCATCGATTTGAGATTCTTCTCGAAGGCAATATGTCGGGAGCACACGGTGCCGTTGAAATTGCGCAGGTAATTATGAGCACTCTGCAAGTTAATTCCTACTTTATAAGCCTGGAAATGCAATCTCATAGATTAAGAATATCTATACGTCCGCTTTTTCTCTACTGTTTTGTCTCTCGCGGTGCGGCATGTTTCAGATGCAACGCATGTCGCACAACACAAAGCGAGAGGGAGGATGCGTATAAGTACGCCAAATACGCCATTATTATCCGTCCCCGATTATTATTTACCGATATGTTAGTTATCTTAAGATTTATTTAGTTTGTTATTTTTCGTAGCAAGTCTCAGCTGTATGGCTGCTTCTTTCCGAAAGTTCCGAAAGTGTACGTTAGGTTAACAAGTAAGCACAAGTTTATTTTAACCGCGTTACGGAATAGAAAAAAAACTCGTATCGGGACATTGGTAACTATTGTTCGTTGACTTTATTTACGAGTACAGTTGACAACATTTTAGCTAATAAGAGCAGTTGGGGAGGGGGAGGGGTGAATATGAATTCAATAGGCACAATCGCGAGTCAGTATAGGAGCGGGAAAAGATAAGAAGCGCGAGCAAGTGGTGTCGGGTAGGGCAGTTGAGAACAGCAAGCAGTTCGAACGGCGCGATACTCTCGTTGATGCATCTACTCATCATCGTTCTTTAACGTTCAGCAGTGTTCGATCCCGTGGTGGATTTTCGACGAACGTGTGAAAATCGACAAATATACGCTTTCTTGTGCTATACACGGATATTAGAATGTCAATGTCGCGCGCGAAATCATCGAAAGGCAACGACGGTAAGCCGTTTGCATGCATCAGTTTCCCCAGAAGCAGATCCAAGAACATAACATGTATCTCCTGCAACCATAGATTCTACGTACCAGGTAATTGTTGCGTTTGTCAACTTTTTCTTATCCTCTTAATGTGTAACAGTATCGCCGCACGACGCTACTATTGATTTGCGAACATGTGATTGTCGTTTTATAATACCGGCATCGTTGCCAAAATCTCATAACAATATGTCTCTCTCGTTGTCGATGTTTATACAGCATGTACAATGCCGATCATGACGAGACTCGCGACGATCGGACGGTCGTTAAGTTTTAATGAATATAAACAGTGGAGAAAATAGGCACGCGCCGGAGAGGTTAGGGAGAGGTTAGGATTCCTTGTGTACTTTCAGCATTTTGTGGCATGAAATGTATAGAGAAACTACTAACCAACTAAACTTGACTCATTTGTCAAGCATTGTTTTAGAATGCTTTTTTGTATTTTACACTCATTTGATATTTTAATGGCGATAGCTATGTGTAGATTAATAAAATCGTTAGTGAAATGCTTAAATATTTGACTTAGTGTACCTTTTTTACACAATTAAAGTTTTCTAAATAGAAAACTTAAGCAAAGGCTTTAAAGAGTGATTGCTTTCCTTATATAGAAAGAAATACTTGCATATTAAAATATTTTTGAGATATTTTACATATAATTGCATACATAACGTAAAACCTTTTAATAAGAGAGAGATATGTATTTAATATATTGCCTCCTCCTTTTCCTCTCATTTCCCTTGTATTATTGTACAATAACATAAAACTATATATCTAACAATCATGTTTCAATATTGTGTTAGATAGATTACTGAAAGTAATTTATTTCATTCAAATAGTTGCAGATAAGTCGTTACTGATTGGAAACTTGATACCTTTGTTATTATCTTGTGGACATCCCGTATGTACTGGATGTGTGAAAAAGAAAATTATATATTGTTCTTCATGTAATAAAGATATACAAGACAATACAATTAAGAAACTGCCATTGAACTTGTACACTCTGGGTCTGCTTATTTCATCAAGCCAACGTCCAATGGAAACCAATGATGAAGATTTTGTATTTTGTCATACGGTAGCTCTAAAGTTACGTCAGATTAAAAGCCAAGGTTAGATTTGAGATATAATAACAAATCAAATATATTTACCAAAGTGATTGAGAAGAAAATTTAATAGTTTATTTCTATTTGTAGGATTTTGTTACGAATGTGGAACTTCTGCTTCTATTAAGTGTGTACAATGTATGGTACTCTTTTGTTCCTGTTGTTATTCTAAAGTAATTTGATCTTTTTTTAATAAAAATTAATGTTTATATATATATATATGTATATATATATACACACATACATTATTATTAAAACTGCAAAAATTGGTAATAATATTTTATAATTTTTGTTTTGTAGATTCATGGGAAAGCATTGCAGAATCACACACAGATTTCGCTAGTCAAAGAGGAATATGACAGCTTCTGCACAATTACAAACAATTGTTCATCAACATGCAGTGAAGCATTAAGCTATTTTTGTAATGATTGTGGTACATCTGGTTGTTCAAACTGCATGCTGCTCAAACACAAAATGCATGATTATGTTACTCTAAAAGAAAAGGTTAGTACAGTTAGTAGTATTATACAATAAATTGATTTATTGAACATTTTATTGTATAGTATTTATATTAATCTGTGGAATTTATTTTACAGAACAAGGAAATGATACCTGAGTTCAATGAGGTCAATCAAAAGATTATGGTGAATCTGCAAAGGATCAACCAGACAAGAAAGGTGAGTACCTATCTCCATCAACATTTGTTTTGGCAAGGAGACTGTTCATATAATTAATATGAGACGAGTATGTGTTAGAAAATGATCAATAAATAAATTTATTAACAATTTTAATAAAATATTAGGTACACATGTAGGAATAATTATATTTGATTTTTTAAGTTATATTCAGGTTAATGTATCGCTCACTATTTTAAAGTGATTTTTCAGTGACTCTTGATAAATTATAAGTAAATACTTTCGAGACACATCCTCGTGCAAGTATATGATAGAAATGTCTGTTTTAAATTTAAATATATACTAAACACATAACATCGATATTTTTTACATATCAAGTGTGCCACAAAGAAAATGTGTGGTTACATATACATATGTATTAATATATTTATAAACAAATGGCGAAATCTATTCGATATATATATATATATTTTTTTTTTCTCTTTTTTTATGGACGATATATACGCGAAGATATTAGTCATATTCTCGGCGCGCATCGCGCGTACTTCAACTGTTACTATTTTTCGTTGAGATACGAAAGTTATGCAACCCGACGTTGTATAACTGCAATAATACACAGTACTAAGTGGTTCGTCGGACGTAGGTCGAAAGAGATAGCGCTCCGCCAAACAGACGAGCACTTTCGGGTCATAAATAGTACACAATACGCATATGACTAGAGGGGAGTACAAAAAATATCTAATATATCATCTAATATATCATCAGCCATTTCATACCCGTACAAAATGATCGCGATAGTCTAACTTACTTTTTACGCGCGATCCTTTCTATTGTTAAATCACATTTAACTCCATCATACACATATTGCACTTTTTCGGGATTGCGAGACTGTCTCGCAATCCACAATGGGTTTTTGTTGTTCGTATATCGTAATGGCAACGAGACACATACATGTGTCATATATAAAGACTAAGTTATTTAACATATAACACTACATGTCTACTACGTGTCTACTTGTCGTCATCGTCGTCATCGTCATCGTCATCGTCATCGTCGTTGTTCTTCGTTTGCGGCTTCCCCTTGTGTTTATTTTTCTCCTCTTGTTGCTTCTTCAACTTCTTCTCCTTCAGTTTCGCCTCCATCTCTTTGAACTTGAGCTCTAGATATCGATCCACTTCCGGACCGGTGAAATCCTCCGGGAACTTGGGCATAATTGGCAAAATGTACTTGTACAGTCGTTCATTCAGCACGTACAGTTGAGTGGTCGTTTCGCATTTTACGTTGAACCACCAGTCGCAGGTCAATGCCACCTGACTGAATATCGTACCATTCGGGCACAAGAATGATGACTTGCCGCCGTTTAAATCGCAATAGTGCCACACCTGAAAACGATATTATCTTTATTCGAATAATTAAAATTTTGTCGAATGCAAAATCCGAGAACTCGCGAATGTATTATAATCGAGATGAGAGAACTTTGGCGAAGATTTAAAGTCCGACAAATGTTTGATGGATTAAGATCTGCCACAATCGCGCGTTATCCATACGAATAACTTGAAATTTCATCAAGTAGAGATTGCGAGAGACCGAATCGTAATGCGGTCTTACATTCAAATTCGTAAGGTGAATTTCAAACAATCTCGAATGTCAAACTAAACTATGAAAATGTCTAAAAAGTTAAAATAATTTCAAACGTTACACTCACTTGACATCTGGTCGCGGGGTCGCCGAAGAATCCTTTGTACCTTTGCTCTTTACAGCTAAAGGAAGTTTCCGGTATGGTCGCGTACGCCGGGTAGTCAACGTGGGGTTTTCCGCGTGTCGCGCCATATTTAGCCGACGTTTTCGGCATTTTCGTTTCCGGATGTGTTATTTCGTTGGGCGTCACGTAGCCCTTGCTCGTAGACGTCTCGGTAGAGATCGGCAAGGTGTATTGTTCGTCCTGCGAGGCGTCGTCGTTAAAGTCCTCCGTGATCTCATAGGAATGTTCGCTAGGTGCATCGGGTTTTACGGTTGGCCTGAAACTTTGCTTCGCGTCGTTCGAGATATCCTGAACATACGGAACGTAGTATTCCACCTTCTCATCCTTCACATGATTGTAATCTGGCAGTACCGGTTGCGTCTTGATCGGCACGTTGTCAACGTAGTCGATCGTCTTGTATCGTTCGGGGTCGTCGGTAATGTACAGGGGGTTCGGTGTCACTTGAAACTTCGTCTCCGTGATGACTTTCGGCCGCGTATACGTCTTCGGTTTGTGGTTGTCGTAGCTGTTCAATCGGGGTGGCAAGGGTGGCGGCGACGGCGACGGCGACGGCGACGGCGACGGCGACGGCAGCGGCCCTTGCGACTGCGGAAAGTCCTCTTTTCGCGAATTGTGCAGGATATTGAGGATCTCCACGAGCGCCTTTATGCTCTGGTCAATGTTGTCTTTGTTCAGCCTCTCCGGCAGTCGTTCGGACAATTGGAAGCTCTCGATTAGATTGTTCAGATTGACGCTCGGCTTTCGGTAAACCGGCGAGATGAGCGACGGCTTTCTCTCGGCCGTCTCGTATTGCTGCTTCAGCAGCACCGGTTGTTGCACCGCCGACGGGATGTATCTCAGTCCCTCGAATTCGTTATTCGGATAATTAAGTAGGACAACGCCCGGCCGCGTTGCGTAATCCTGATCGTAATCGTCCTGCGGGCCGCCGTACGCCACTGGGTTCTTCAGCAAGTGCTCTCTCGCGGGCGGTCGTAGCGGTCTCGCGGTGCTGTAGTATCGATTCTCCTTGTGCAGGATCTGGCCTCGTGCAGGCGTGGTGATCTCAGGGTAGGTCTTTTGGATCTGGTAGACCTGCTGATAGGCCGGGGTGGAATAGTCCGCGTAGTTGATCTTAGCGTTGTACTTGACCGGCGCGAAGTAGTCGTTATCGCCGCCGATGTTCCTCGGGTCGAATTGCACGGACGGGACGAACTTTGTCTCCTGGCTAGGTAGACCGACGTGATACTTGTTACCGCCGCTTCTCCTCGGGAAGCCGGCTAGCCGGAGCAACTGCTGTTGCAGTTGCAGCTGCTGTTGCTGTTGCTGTTGCTGCGGGCTTTTTCGGAGCAGACTTCCCGAGAGCTCCTTCGCATAATTTTGCGCCAGCGCTGGCTGCCCGTTCACGTAGTTGTTGGCGACGTAAAAAGTCATGTAGGGTATCAATCTTCGGAATCTCTCCTTGAATAACGTCAGGTTCATGTTTGCCAGTAGTTCCTCCCCGTCATCCTCCGCGATAGTGCTAGTCACGTTCGGCTCCGTCGGCGATGCTCCGCAGCTTTGCATTAATAACAACACTGCAACCGAGAAAAAAATAGCTTTACTCTTTGCCGTCGTTTTTCTTGTCGATAATGTTGACTCGCAGTTCGCAGCGGGTAGCGTTTACGTCTAAATAACTTTGTCACGAACCTGTCAATACGCATGCCTATATCATCACGACGGTAATAATACAGCGAGCACGTTTCTCCCTTTCTATATTTCTTCGAATGCGTCAAATGTACACCGGCAGAACCGTCCGAAGCATTAAGCCCTTCGAGCATACGACAGAGAGGACACGAAGGACACCTGCGCACAGGTGCAAGTTTGCACTCGTTCAAAGGGTTAGCGTAATCGTTAGCGCGCAATTTCGGCGCGGCGTCGCGCTGCCGCGCCGCACGGGGGGGGGGGAATTGCACGGGCGCGAGCGGAGAATGAGAGATAACGCGGTATGTCTCTGAAATGTCTCGTTACGGTCGACAGAGACACACGAATCGTGGAAAGGGGGGACGGTCCTGAGGGTTGAAGGTTGAGTCTGGCGAGATAGAGAAGGATCGGTGCACGTTTTTAGTGGTTCCATCGCTCGAACGTGCTGGCGCGAATATACCCGGCCGCGAGAGTGCCGATGTACATATGTACGATGTACGCACCACTTCTGCATGTACGCATCCGCCCGCGTATGCACTCATCCACTCGCACACACGCGCATGCACGCACGCACGCACGCACGCACGCACGCACGCACGCACGCACGCACGCACGCACGCACGCACGCACGCACCCACCCACCCAAACGAACTCGCGTACCTTTATTCTTGCTGTCTCGTCGTGCGCGCAAAAGCGCTGGCCGACGCTCTCTCTCTCTCTCTCTCTCTCCGAATATTTTCCTTCTAATTTAATTTCATCTGCTGGAGCGCGCAGTACGCGCGCGTTACCTCGCACGTCCCGAGGACGAGGGTGGAGATTCAGATTGGGGGAGCGGAGGGGAAGAGACGGGAAGGGGTGCATTGCGTCGCGAATATAACGATGCACGGTGGCTTTTCGAGGGGTCGATTAGAAGTGTATTTCGCTGCGGGGGCGAAACCGGAACGTCGGTACAGAGGGGTGAATTCTTTCTCGATTCACCTCTTCCGTCTCGTTGCGCTCTGCCCGTTGAATGAGAGGGGGGAAACGGTCGGTGCTGAAAATCGTCGGATTCTTCAATCCGCGATCTGTCGGTCTGCGAAATCGCACATACATATATCTGTCCTCCTCCCACTTCGGTCTGTTTACCCGTAGGTTGTTTCTGCTCGCGAGTGAATAATTACCGGCGCGCGGTTTTGAACTTCATTCGCGCGGCATTCTAAAAACGCGCGTATATCTCATCAGGAGCAACAATGGGGGGACCCATTTATTCGGCATACACAGCGCGGCACGTGCTCCCGCGGGAGCAGTTGGTCTATGAGATACCGCTATCTTGGTTCATAACGTACTACGTATATTGTTTCTGTTTGAATAATTCTGTCATTGTTAAATTCGCCACACACACACACACACACACCCGCAGTACGCTCTTATACGCGGCGAATTAAAAGAGAACGTTGACGTGCCGAATATTTCTACGGTAAATATCGCTCGTCGTACTTTTCGTCAATTCGACCGACGTGTAGAATTTTACTTCCCGCGACAGGTAACAGATTTAGAATCGACCGAATCGAAATTCGAATTCCCCTCTGATCTCTTTTTTACCTTTTATTCCGCGGGATTAAACAAACCACACGTGCCGCGTAATTTTTTCTTCGGCACCGCGTCCGACCTCTCGTTCATCCCGTGCATATTCTCTGGCACACCCTGCGCGAATATACTCATCCACTTTTTTAATACGCGAGCTTTCGTCACATCGCTGGTGATATTGCGGTGCACGAAATGCTGCAACGGGGGTGCAGAGTGGCGGAGGAAAACGTGTGGCTCGAGTGGTGCCGGATATAAACCCGCCTCACTAGACTCGCCATGAATTTTTATAAACCGATTATTTAGCATCGATGTAACAAAGTGCAGCGAGCCCGTTGAAAGACCGTCGCGCGGCGCTCCAAGCCGGCGCACATCAAAGGGACGCGCGTCCCGTATTACTCTCTCTCTCTCTCTCTCTCTCTCTCTCTCTCTTTCTCTCTCTCTCTCTCTCTCTCTCTCTCTCTTTCTCTCTCTTCCTTCCTTCCTTCCTTCCTTTCCGCCTCCCCTCTCTCTCTCTCTCTCTCTCGGACGCGCGCGCGCGTGGGTTACACACAGTTATACGCCGACCCCGACCTGGAAATCCAATTCGATTCTGCATGAAATGAGTCTGGAAACTCTGTCCGCCTCCCTCCGCGTTGCGGCGCGACGCGACGCGACGCGGAGCGGAGCAGAGCGGAGCACGGTGCGCTTTATTAATCCTGTCAGCACGAAACGTGATTGAAAAATTCGCAAAGCGCGTGTGCTCCGCGCGATCTCTGAGAGGCGTTCATCTTGAACATTTTCAAAGTACGATACGAGCACATCGTCCGCGGAATGCATTCGCCGCGTCTACATACAAAGAGACACGCGGGCTGAGACGCGTTGCATTTCTCGCGCCTTGGGTCCGCCTCGGCAAGGAAGCCGGCAAGGAAGTTTGAAAGAAAACAAGGGAAATCTTTTGTTTGTGTTTCTCCAATCGAATCACTCGCGCGTCGATCGAGCGGTGTACGTTTTTACATCGTGACTCGCGGGCAAGCGTTACTTCGATGTTGCGAAGTCTTGGTAGAAATCGAGGCCAGTTTTGAGACGCGTGCCAATTGTTGGGATTATCGAAAAATGACATCAGCGCGAGCGCGCGATGAAAAGGTAAATTTGGGAGACGACGTTTGATTTCGCTGCGGAGCAAACTTTTGTCTCCTGTCACGTCGTCTCAAACGAATCGAACACGACGCGAAAGACCTTTCACTTTTACCGTCTCGCGCAAAAAACAATTATTCCTCGAATTGGATCTCAGCCAAACGGAAACGGCGAGCGAGGCTGCCTTCTTCTTCTTCTTCTTCCTCCTAGTCATCGCCCGATGCTCTCTCTCTTCCCTCCTTTTCCTCTTCCCTCAACTATTTCTCCTTTTGCCATTCTCCTTTTATCCCGAATGTCAGGCTGACTGGCGAAATTCTAACTTGAATTCTACATTGCGCAACGCGTATCGTACCGCGCGCAAAAGTACACAATGACGGACCAGGGTCTCGTACCGATCCACGTTCGGTAATCCGATACAGAATATTAATTGGCGGGTATTGGTCTCCTAGATTACGTTATTTCGAACGCGCGTGACTTGGAAGCTCGACGGACGCGAGGTCTGGTCGCGCTAAAAGAGTGAGAGAGTGAGAGAGAGAGAGAGAGAGAGAGAGAGAGAGAGAGAGAGAGAGAGAACGAGGGGGGAGAGAGAATCGCGAAACAGATGCGGCCGGAATATAGACGTAGCTTTGTTCTCGATCAACCCTTTCCGCGCGGGATGCCGCGCGGCGCGGTCAAAAATTCACTAATTTAATTACACAAGAATCCGCGCTTCCGAGTGCGCGATATTCAATCAATTTCCGATGCGGCGCGGCACTTCTCGTAGTGGCGAAACGAAACGAGCACGGCGTACTTTCCCGACGCGCAATTCTGCATAATGAACACACCTGCACTCCGCCCGCCTATTCCGCCCGCTGTCGTTGTACTGCGCGAAATTCGTAATGTATAGAACGCCGCATTCAGCAAAAAATAACTGTTACGAATAATTGATGCCGACGCGACGCGGGCGCGCGAAGCTACCGATCGCGTGTGGCTGTGAAATTACTGCGACCGTCACTTTATTTATTGCACGTGCGCGAGGCGAAGGGCCGCCGCCACCGCTCTGAGGGGCAATACGCAATACGCGCGAGAAAATCAAGCCATTTTTCATTCTTGGCTGTGCGACGACGGACATTCTTAATGAGCGAAATATCGCGACTCCCACTTGACACCGGAGAAACATGGCGTTGCACGGGGGGAGGGGGGGTCCCTGAATACGTAGTTGCGCTCAGTGTCACTGAATTTATCATTCGAAAGCGCTCGTTAGAGCCGAGCCGGGAGATTTTTAACACGTAGGAGGAAAGAGTACGAGCGCGGGGGAGGGGAGGAGGAATTGGTTTTATTTATCACTCGTTTAATTAAACGCGATGAGATTCCGATCGAGCTTTGGCGCCGTGATAACATTGACGTCAAAGTTATCGGGATTGTGCCGGCACGTTTGACTTTGTGGACCGCGGCCATTCCTTTGTTTCTCTTTCGACTTTGATGCGCGTATAAGTGATAACACACGCTGCGTACACACGAAATCGCACATTTGCAATTTCGGATATTTATCCCGATAAAATTGCACACTGCTACATTGCGACGTAACGATGATTTACACAACCGCTATGATGGGTGTCGAGTATGTATAATCAGCTCGCTATCAATGCGTGCTTCAATAATTATCCAGTATTACGTAAGCGCGTAAGTACGAGCGAAAGGAAGCGCTTGTTTTTCCACCGGGATACGGATACGTATGCGTACGCACGTAGTAACGAAGGTAATTATATGCACACGATACACACCGAAGCGAAATCGAGATAGTCTGGTCGGGGAGTTAGGAGGAAGAGAGATAAGGAGAGAGAGAGAGAGAGAGGACCGATCCCGTTTTGTTTCTCGTGGATGTGCATCGTCCAGGCCGAAACGAACGAGAAGGAGAAGGAGAAACGCGTACGCGCGAGACCGACTGCGAGAGCAATCCGTCCAAAATAATGATATTTTCAAGGATAATCGCCGATGGCTACGTGACCGGGCTACGCATCAATTTCTCCCTTCGCAGCGCGATCCCCGATGCACGTCAATCTTTCGTTTCTCGTTGCACGATCAACAAACATTAGTGAGATGCGCGCGCGCGCGAAACGCCCGAGCGTAGAGAGGGTGGATTTTTCGGACGCGAGAAGTCGCGGTCAGGACGACGCGGCGCGGCGAGTTCGCTAATGAATGTTCGCGGGTAATCGGCAGGTCGTAAACGGGAAAG